ATTTGAGATTTGACTTACTAGTCATATGGTGCGTAACGTCCTGGATATGTTGTCCGAAAGGAGTTCTGCTCCGACTCTGCTGGGGTGCGGGCCATCAGCGACAGAGACTTATATTACATATTGTAAAAAGGGGCATAATATTTCTCCTTTCAAGAAATTTTTACTTTATCCAGCAGGGATGGATTAAATTGATCAAAAGTGACCATAAAGACATTTATAATTACAGAAGACTTTTATTTCAAATAAATAAAATAATCCTGAATGTTTTCAACATAAATGATAATAGAAACATCACCAAATCCGCATATTAGAGTGATTTCCGAAGGATTATGTGACAAACTGAATCCTGGAGTGATGGCTCCCGAAAATTCAGCTTGGCCATTAAAGGAATAAATTACATTTTAAAATGTATTAAGATAGAAAACAGTTGTTTTAAATTGTAATAATATTTCACAATATTGATGTTTTTACTGTAATTTTGATCAAATAAATGTAGACCTGATTAGCATAAGAGATTTCTTTTAAAACATTAATGTCTTTGGAATTCCAATTATTTATGAATGTGTCATATGAACAATTAGACATTAATAAGACTGATGTCTCAAAACTCAAAGACATCAAGTCTCAAAAACTAAGGATCACATCTCAGGTTCTTGGTTAATTTCAAATCAGACAAAATAACTTGCAGTACAGGGAGAAAAATAACTTGCAGGACAGTGAGTTTAAGACTGATTCACTGAGTCATCATGGGTTACTTTGTGTGTGTTTTTGCATGCAGTGATCAAAGCAGACAACAAAGATGCCATTTAGCAGTGAAAGAAACACTCATGCGGTTTAAATGCGTAATTAATAAACGTCTCAATGTGGTGAATCTGATAAACCACATACTTATGCAAATAAACCAGTGGTGATTGGATTTTAAATTGGACCAAATTCTACTAATAAAGTCTACCAAGTGTAGTATGTGGTCATTTTATTCTCAGTCTGGAGCCTTGTTAAACTGCCAGCAGCTGTGAACTCTTAAACTGCAGTAAATGGTACAACAGTGTTCTAACAGTAACAGTGCTTTTATATGTTGGTGATCCTGCTAAACTATTCAAGAAACAATCAATTTCCTTGTAAATATACCATATAATGTGCTTTGTTTAAAGCAAGCTTTCAGTCTGAACATGTTGAATGCATCTGAAGATTTATTCCTTTATTCTTATGCATGACCTTTTGAAGTGTCATTAACCCTCCAAAATTCCCATTTTTGGCAGCACAGCAGGCCCAGAGTGACGTCCTTTTATACTTCCCTTGCAGGATCTTAACCAGTACCTGAAGGACAAAGTTTACTTGGCTGGGAACATCTTCACCCTGGCAGACATCCTCATGTATTACGGAATTCACCACATTGTTGTAAGTCCCTCAGCGGTGAACTTCAGTCGTTTGAGAGAAGTGATGCAGAGCTCCCAATTAAAGCAGTAAGACGCTTAAAGCACAGGAGAAATTTGACACAGCAGAAAAGATGAGACATATAGTGATGTCATTTCCCAGGACAGCAGCCAAGGAAGTTTAAGGAGCCTGAAGGAGCCCATTGAGAAAGGAAGAAAGGGATTAAATGAGAATTAGAGGGAAAGGGAATAGAAGATCACATCTCTCCATGTCAGTGTTTGTAATTGACTGACTAAATGACTGACAGAGAGTTGTCATTTCCCAGAAGGCATTAGTATGTCACTTGGTTTAAATCTCTTGAAGATAAGGTCAGTTAGACATAGTTTCTTTAAAAAAATAAAATAAATAAAAATTATTCACCCCTTGGTCATTTCATTTTTTTATATTGTGCAACATTGAACTGCAGAGGAACTTGTTTGACTGACTTTTTTTTCCATGTAAAAGTAAATATAAATGTCTGGAAAATGTACTACCGTTATTAAACCCACAATAATGTATTTGTATTCACCGTTCTTCAAGAGTTTCCCCTTGTTTGCTGTATGATGCACAGTGTTTGGCTTTTGACAAACATGGCGTTTAGTCTGATGGCCAAAAAGTTCATTTATACTATAGTCAATTGAAAGCCATTGACTACTTTTGCTTATTTATGTGAGTTGTATAACCAGTTGCATCACTGTGACAAATAAGAATTTCCAAGATAAGGGCCTTTCACACCGAGTGCAATTAAGCGACGCAAATGTACGACGTGATGATTTTCTTGACTCAAAACAGTAGATCCCTGTGGACCTATTTACACCATGCATGATCAATTGAGGCGTGACAAAGTTAGATTTTTTTATTTTTATCGACTAGTGTGCCGATTATTTTTTTTTTTTCGTCGCCCCATGATGAAACAAGCCATCCAATTAGATTTGATGCTGCCTTCACGTGCTATCGGAAACTTCCTACTTGTGAAGTTGTAATCACGAGTTTGTGTTCAAGAACAGAAAAGTTCTGGCATTCTTGCCAGTTTCTTGGGGAAATCTCATTAAAGCCAAAAGGTACAGAAGATATTTAGTCAATATCCAACAGGTTTTGAATGAGAGCGTAGCATCCCATTCATTGGTAAACATTCACTGGCATATAAATATTCAGCTGGCTGACGATTCCTAATTTCGGTCAAATAAATGCTATTTTCGCTGTTCAATAATACAATATGCATAAAATGGTTATGTATGCAGATATACATGACTGTAACTTCAGGAGAAAGCAATGTAGATGTTGTGGGAAAAACTAAAAATGCATTCTCAGTCAACGCCTCCTATTGTGCAGGCATGAATTAGCTGAATGTGATTCATCATTTCGCATTTGGTGAAAGCACCAATTTGCTTCACTTTTTTTTGCATTGCTCTCAGTGTGAAAGGCTCATAGAAGTCTAATTTTAAGATTTTCTTACATTTTAACACTTTAAGACCTTTTTTTTTTTTTACTTTTTACAGTTGACCCAAAGTGTGCCATATTAAAGAGTGAATTCTTGTGATTTTTTTTTTGCATTGTATACTTCTACAAAATGCTGTATATATAATATAGTAATATGTCAATATCATCTTAATTTAAATAAACACTGTAAAAAATAAATAATGCCTAAGCAGGCAAAGACACTGTTACTGGATGTCTCTGTAGTGTTATGCACATTTATTTTTTACCTTTAATGTTCACGGTCTCATGTTTCCCTTACTTTTTCTTAGGTGGAATTGGCTGTACAGGAGAAAGAGCGATATCTGAATGTCACCAGGTGGTTCGATCATATCCAGCACTATCCAGGTGTACGACACCATTTGCCTCCTGTGGTGGTTTTGAGGAACAAAATTTACCCAAGTGGTCACCACTGAAAACCTCGATAACATCTTGTGGGTTGTCAAATAATCCAGACCTTAAGGTCACATTATCAATGCTCAACTGACACACAGAGCTGTCCCATTGTGTTACACCACAACCCTGACATTAACCCAAACAGTCAGGACAAGTAAAGCAGGTCTTTTCCTTTTCCTTTTTTATTTATTTTTTTGGTGTGTGTGTGTGTGTGTGTGTGTGTGTGTGTGTGTGTGTGTGTGTGTGTGTGTGTGTGTGTGTGAGAGAGCTAGTTTATGTCCATTAGTAGTGTTATTTAATATGTGTGTTTAGAATGAGTGTAGTTTGTGGAAGGTTTATTCAAATTATGTGGATTGGAGTACCTCAGCATGAACAATAAGAATAGTGGCTGTGGTTAAAATAAAACTTTTACTAATGGAAAAGCAGTTGATTTGAATATTAACCTGTATATGAAACGAGTAAATCTATTAATAGCTTTTTCAGATAAGTTACTCATTACTTAAGATAATATGGATATCCCTTACATCAAGCCACACATATCTTTCCTCATTTGGCATTTTCTTCTGCCATTCGCCTATTCTCCTAGTCTTGGAGCTGGTGTGGGCAGTAGTCTGGGGTTTGACAGGATGTCATGTTCTTGCTCTGGGGCAGTAGGCAGACTACCAGCTGTAGCCGCACAGACAGCACTGGTGTGTTCTGGTTTTCTTGTGCTTTTCACTCCACCCACAACCAGTGTGTCATTTTCTCCCCAAAATCCCCTTCTGTCATAGCTGTGAATTTCTTTAGACACTTAAAGTGTTCAACTGCTTAATCCGCTTCTGTGTTATATAAATCACTGGCTGTGTCAAAGGTTTTCAATATTCAAAATGTTTTTGAATGAGGCATTGTTGTAGAAGATCTGCGCTTGTGAATTTTCACGGCACAAAATTAATTTTTATAAAAGGTTCAAGACAAAAATACCTTTCCAGTTCCAGTTGACTTGTTCCTGAGAACATAGTAGCTTCATTGATCATAAAAGGTTGACTCAAAACATCTTTCGGGAAACCGAGCACTTCATGCAACGTATAACATGTGGCCAATCTGGTTTGGAGCTGCTCTGTCCGTAGCCTTTATTATGGAAAATCCTCTTCTTATGAAAGGGAGATGTGTTTTTGCACGTTTACTTATCTGCTGTGCATATGCTGACAGAAAGATCCCTCTGTTCTTTTTATTATACTTCCTTTCCTGTAAGCCGCTTTTATGAAATGTGTGCTGTTCTCAAGCTCAAGTTTGTGTTCTTTAATGTCAACAGAATGTTGTCCTGTGCCAATAAATGAAAAAGGGAAAACAGAACTATCGAAGTCCTCCTTCTGGATATATGACACACCCCATTTTTTGCAGAATTCGAAGAATTTCCATCTTGACATTCAGTGTGTTCATAGAGGAACAGCAGCGGAACAAAGCAATGTGTGTTTGTGGAATAGCAAACTGAAGAAGCGACAGAAATCTTGCAGTCATCAGAACAGGCCTTGTGACCAGATAATGGAGGTATCCACAGTGGAGTCTGTATGTTTATTTCTGTCTCCAGATTTAATTGGGCGGCTAATCTAAAAGAGGCTTCCCTCATCAAAATGAAATTTCACATCCACAAAAGATGACCAAACCACATGTAGCAGCTGCTCCTGAATGGTGGTCTTTAAGGAGATTTTAACTGAAGTTTTCCACATTTTCAAACATCAGTTCTGGTGTCATGGGGTCACTGTTGCTTTAGCACAAAGTTGAGGAAGATGAAAGATGTTTTAAGTAGCGAAAGATCCACAGCAGGAGGTGTAGGACACTCCAATTATTTTGGGCCTTTGTCCTTATGCAGAGTTAGAGGCAATTCACTCTTCATGGGTGGACTTATTTTATTTCAGTTGCACTTCTGCTCGTTCATTAAATTCTGGCAATTAATTTGCCTTGCAGTTCTCAATAAGTCAAAGTTCAAGAGGTTTGGGGCATTAGCTCTCACATGCCGGTTCATCTCACATGCAGCATGCCACAAGGTCAACAAACCACCTATTGCTTTCCCAAATGGCTGCAGGGACTTCAAGAAGAGCAGGGAGTAGCAAACTTAGGTGCTCTAGGATGTTATGCTTTTCTTTTGATGCCGCAGGATCTTGATGAAAAAGACTTTTAAGTAGCACAGCATGACAACTGTGCGGTACTTCTGGAAAGTTGAGTTCTGTAACAAAAGAACAGGGATTCCTGGTTCTAGAAAGAAACAGGCTTGCATCATTGACACTGCTACAGACCACAATGGATAGATGGATACACATTGACTTTGCCAGGCTGCGTTCGCATTTTGTTTGCATCATGTCCCCTGAAGTGCCTGAAGTTTTCACCAACTGTTCATTATGTCTTGTTAACAAGATAAAGAGCTGCATGTCAAGCGAGATGTGAAACTGGGAAAACAGAAGACCCTGATTGATTCAATGAAACTATCAGTGCTGCGTGGGGCGCATTAACGCAGGGTAAGTAGTTGTGACAGCTCCCGTGTTACCTGCAGCCAAAAGGAAGTGACAGTTCTACCATACGCCCATAAAACAGGCATCTGATTGTCCACTGCAATTACATGACTGAAGCAAAACAGGAAGAGCAAAAAGTTATGCAGTGGTAACGCATCCACACACAATTAATAGCTTTACTTTAGAACGGCGAGAAGCAAATTTAGGTGGAAATGCTCCACTTGAGGCAGTGTAAGTGTCAAAAGGATTTGTCTGCGAATTAATATGTCTCAGAGGCAAAAGCGTTTTATAGATACAGATATGCATATTATCGTGGAATGAGGTATTCTGAGCTAAACACTAACATCAAAGGCCTGTCACTCTTAGTGATGGAAATGCGCAATGATTAAGAAAAGAGAGGAGCGTCTTTTATCTCGAGCATTGTCTTTGTATTACCCTCTTATCTATGTATAAGAAGGGTCTTGCAATAAGACGGAAGGACCGCAGGTGTGGGTCTGTGCACAGAGTCTTTGAGATGCTCCTTGCTCACTTCATCAATCACAGAAGGCGTCTGATTTAAAAGGTGCTAAAGTACATGTGTGTGACCCCAGGCACCGTGATGGTACCTTAACACTGACACGGATGACAGAATTTTCCGGAAATAGACTCTGCTGAACGAAACTGTCCCAGCTGCACGAAACGTAGTCCTGAGAGAGATGTGTGGGCCTTGTGCACCATGTGTGCTTTGAGACTTTCGTTTAAGGGGTTATGGATTTGGCTTAAAGGTACCAGAGGTTTAGGAGGTGTGTGGGGGTGGGGTGGGGTGGGTGGCGGTTAAAGACATGAAAATGACCTCCTGGATCTCGAGAGATTATAAGCCATGCATAGAAGGTGCGTAGGCATCTATTGTAACTGTTCTTTAGTAAGAGAGTCTATGGCAGCACCTAGAACTGTAAAGTAACGTTCTGAGATCTGACACATGCATTGAGGAACAACTACCATGCCAAATTTGGGATCTATTTATGTACTTTAAGTACCTCTAAGGCACTAAGGTCCTCATCTGGTATACTGTAGCATGCTCATGAGCGCAGGGGAGAAGTGGCCCATCCCTAATAATGTTTGTCCAGGAAACACATGAACAAATTTGAAGGCAAGCAT